CTCTCATCGACACCGAGCTCTGGGGCCTGAATAATGTCAATACCCTGTTGAGTCCATATGGAAAGGTATGCACGGCACCCACCTACTCTACACTCCTAGGCCTGGATCCGTTAGAGAGGTCTAAGCGTATTATCGAGGAGTTTGAGTTGGATTACGATAAACACAAGTTTCTGAACGACTGGTACAACCAATGCTTCAAAACCATAACAGATATACGGGTGATGCCGGGTGCCCACCGCCTAGTTGAGCACCTGTACTCGCACGGCATACCCCTGGCCATCGCCACTGTAGGCAAAAAGGCTGAGTTTTACGCTAAGACAGGTCATTTGGCGGACCTGTTTGGTGAGGGCAAGTATTTCGCACATGTAGTCCATGGCGACGATAAAAGGGTGAAGCGATTAAAGCCTTTCCCCGATCTGTTTGAGGTGTGCGCGAAGGACTTTAGTCCGGCACCGGTAGACCCGAAGAATGTGTTGGTGTTTGAGGATAATTTTGTGGGTATAAGTGCCGCCACAAGCGCCGGTATGTCTACAGTCCTCGTGAGTGATAATCGTTTTGTTCATAATAAGGATATTAAGGCCGATATTATTGTCGATGGTTTTGAGAGGTTTAGACCAGAATGTGCTGGCTTACCACCGTTTCCATGAGCTTTGTAGTTACTGGATAATTTTATTAAAGTATATTATATTATTTTATTTTTAAAATGAATTATGTACATGATAAATTATACTAGTATGTTATTTACTCAACGATTACTGCCTTATACTTTTGAAAGGTTTTATATTTACTGTATTTATTTATAAAAGTATATTATATTATTTTATTTTTAAAATGAATTATGTACATGATAAATTATACTAGTATGTTATTTACTCAACGATTACTGCCTTATACTTTTGAAAGGTTTTATATTTACTGTATTTATTTATTTTAAAATTCTGTATATTTTAAAAGTACTCTATATATTAAATTAAAATACAATTTTAGTTCACTATCTTAAATGTAAATTTAATTTTCTTGAATTTGTATTTTATTTATTCATTTCATTAGCTGTTTATGGTTTATACTTTAACTGTTGAAAATTATTTGAGTCTACTTTTTATTACATAATTTTTTGCGTAAAAAATCAATATTATTTTTGTGACCTTAAAATAATCGATTATATTTCATAATAACTACACTCGTTAATCTCATATATAACTTATTATTGTAGAAACTTTGTTTGTATTTCATTAAATACAGTATAATCTATTGAATGTATTTGACAAGTCCTACTGTATATCTACTATTAAACAAAGATTGCTATTAATTCAATAAATATACTATAATCCCTTTACAAACATATATATTTTTCTTGATTTAATACTAATAAACTTTTTCACTAATCAAAACTTAAATATACAAAATGTGCGAGTTTATGCAACTTTAACCGATAATACAGTACGCTGTATATACAAATTATAGACTTAATTATCCCGATATTCTGTGTGTAAATAGACATAATATTAATTTTGTTTTTATATTTACTTATTTATGCAAACATAGGGTATAGTCATTATCGACAGTTAGTCTACTCAACGGTTATACAATTCAATGGGAAAACAAGTTATTTTCAACGTTAACCAGAATTGCAATAATTTTATAGAAATTAATACATTAAGAATCATATGTTAAGAATTCAATTGAATTTGAAGGTTAAGCAAAAAATTCTTACCATTAAATTGAATAATTCCCTGCTTATTTAATATACGGTAGATAACAGAATCACAATTTTATGCCATAAATTTCTAGGCAATATTTAATACAGTATATTTAGGGCAACAATTCATTATGTATTATATTTCAGGAACTTTTATTTAGTTATATTTATATATTCACTATTCGTATAGAAATAAATAAATATTTTATGAATTCTGATATATTTGTCTAATTTAATAAAAAGCAAATATATAATTAAAATAATTGATGGCATTTTTGTTGTTGTTTTCTATATCATAACACATAACCTATAAAAATAATATTACTATGGGTTTAATTAAGTTAAAAAGAAAATAATATTTAATATTAAATTTAATTCGTTTAATAAATATATGAATTATTCAAAAAAATTCCTGGATAAATTATTGTTGATTAATTTTGTAGACAATTTTACGCAGAGACGTGTGATGTGTTTCGCACATAATATAATTATTTGTCCAGACAAATTATGTATAGAATATAATACAATAAATTTTATTTGAAGTTCATACATAATTACATAACTATATAAATATTCAGATGAACAAATAAAATGTATTGAATTAATTAATAATGAACAAGTTAATGAATAATGAATGAATGTATTGAGAAAGTTAATGTTAATATTTACTTTGGAAAAATTTTACATTATTTTTATCTAAAATATTGCATTAATATATAATAATATTACTACAGTAATAGTAAGTATAAATGATAAATAAAAACCAGGTAACTTTAAAATTTAAACCCAAAAATAACTATAATAACAGTTTGATTAGCACCGGTAGTTTAGCTCCTGTATCCTTATTTGTTTGCAATTCTTTGAAACAATTCCAATGCTTTATATGTTTATTCTGTACACAAAACTCAATTCAAGTCAACACACGCTTCACAATACAATTGTGTATAAATTCCCAGAATATTCTACAATAAAAATGCGAGAATTACTCTCAATTGTGTAATCAATTGAATTTTATACTCTAACAGTAAATGGCAGTGAGTGTAAGGGATAATAAACAAGCTTTTAAAAGCGGAATTTATTTGATAGCGTGGTATTTTTAAATGTTACGTAAGTTTATTAGCTAAAAGCATGTATACAATATGCTAAATATTACAATTCTTAGACAATGCCACTATTATCATGTCATGTTAGGAGTTCATTGGCTTATATTTACATGTTGTATAAATAGCATCAGGTAAAAAAATTGCTACATTTGAAATACAACATGAGTAGGAAATCTGAACATTGTTTACTGTATTTATTTAAAACGTTAAGATTATAGATAGAGTTTAAAATCTAGGAATTTTGTTGATTATTATAAATGGATTTTGTAATTTATTTTGACATAATTGATTCATATTCTGTTTTGTTTAATATTTTTAAAATCATATGTTTATCGAGAAATATCATTATTTAACTTTATTTTAAAAGCCTAATCATTAAAATAAATAATTTATTAGTTTTCAAACTTTTCAAACGATACACTTTTATAAATTACTTATACGGGTATTTTTACACAATTCTGGTTAGATAAATAAATACTGTATAATTTATAAGCCAATTTATAATGCAAACTCTAATAGTATTGATGTAATAATTTT